AACAACACCTAGTTTTCAGCCTCAAACACGTTTTCAGTACTACAGTGCTGCACAGGGGTTTGGTGTTTTTAAGAATCGTGGTGAAAAGGTCAAGTTTGTTTCTAAGTGGACGTTGAATGTTTAAACATGTCCTTGTGTCTGCATCACAGCTGGCAGAGACACAGGACGCTGAGTCAGCAATCGGGTCGGACAGCAGCTCCATTTTGGACTGGAAGCCGTCTGAAGTACCGAGTGTGGCCCCTGAAGTCCTGAGTGTGGCCCCTGAAGTCCTGAGCGTGGCCGAGGCTCCACCCCCAACTAAAAGAAAAGCACTCAGCGCCATCAATGTTCAGGTAAGACAGGGAGATGTGATCACATCAAAACACCAGACAGAAGGACGTTCAGAGGGAATGTCTAAGCGACTGATCTCCAATAAGACTAGTGGGCTAGCCCGACGGTAATACTTTATACTTTACGACGCTATAATGAGAATATTTGTCTTTATATCAATGCTACATGTAGCTTAACAGAATTACACTATTGACAAAAGAGCGGAGAACAAAATACTGATGAACAGAACACATAATGCAGCCACTTAATTACGTGCACGGAGATCCGAGCGGTCGTGGTCAACAGCTCTGAGTCAGAGCTCTGTTGAATTTGGTTTCAATATCTACAGTAATCAGGAGATCATTCCCAATTATTCTGTTGACCATCTGTCAGAATTTCATTAAAAGAAACAATGACTTTAAAGTTCATTGTCATACTCACACAGCTTGTTTTTCTAAACACACACATTTGTCTCCAGTACAAACATTTCATGTTGTGCTCCAGTAGGCTCAGCAAACTCATCTGTATGTTCTTGGTTCATTAAAATACTTAAGCATTGTGTGCATTGCTGTCTCTGACTGCTGCTTTGGGGCTCCTGGAGTTTGTTTTATGTATTATAACATCTCCTTACGTAGAATGAGACATACACCAACAGTGAACGAGGAGATGACTGATGTTATACAAATGAGGAAAGCATCAGTGATCCCTAAGTGGACAAAATACATCTTACATGAAATGAATTTGCAGAACGCAGTCAAGCAGTCGCAGTCAGTTTGCATTAGTTTGTAAATCTGCTTCATCTTCACTCGGCCTCTGCTCCTTTTCTGCAGAAAGAGGAGAAAGACAGCACTGACCTGGGCTACATGACGTCAGAGAAGGCCTACAGGATCGTGTTGGCTGGAGATGCTGCGGTGGGAAAATCCAGCTTCCTGCTCCGCCTCTGCAAGAACGAATTCAAATTAAACACCAGCGCTACACTTGGTAAGAAGAACAAACTGAAGACATCTCTGTTTTTAAAAAAAGGGAGAAGGGGGAGGGGGACATTCTGGTAAAAGAAAACGAAAATTAGAGTCGTAAATCTGAAGTTTTACGTGTTGTCTTTTTATTTTCTTTGTGTTTTTTAGGGGTAGATTTCCAGATGAAGACACTCATTGTGGACGGAGAAGCTGTTTTACTACAACTATGGGATACTGCTGGACAAGAGAGGTGTGTGTGTGTGTGTGTGTTTTTCATGTGTGATCATTTTTTTATTCCTTTTTGTTATTTTGAGCTGTTTGCGTGTTTTTAACAGTGACATTTAAGTAAAGCTCATTATTGCCTATGTGGGGTTTCTTAAAAAACAAATATAAGCAGATAGATTACAGTACAAATCAGACAAATCAGATCGATAGATCTATTTCACGTCTCAGGTTTCGCAGCATTGCAAAGTCTTATTTCCGCCGGGCGGACGGCGTGCTGCTGCTGTACGACGTCACCTGTGAGAAGAGCTTCCTGAACGTTCGAGAGTGGGTGGACATGATTGAGGTAACGCACTCCTCTTCACTCAAACAGAGGAGTAAATAATAACTAGTGTCTGTTTTAGAAATCCATCTACTTTTCTGTGATAGTGATTCAAAGAATTCTCTGAAAATGTAACTAAGTGATCTCGTTTGTTTTCTCTCTGTTTACATGCAGCTGATCTGTAAGTGCTGGACGTACTCTGATTGTGTTGTGCTCTTATAATGTGTTACCTGTTTAACATTCATTCATGCATGCAGTGTGTGGCTTGTTGTTATTGTTGTGAGATGTCTGGAAAAAATGTTTTATGCAAACCAGTGGTGAAAGGTACCTTTACTCATTCACTGATTCTATAATTAAAGGAAAAATGTGCGACATTTTACACATAACTACAGCAGATATCAAGTATATCCTGTAAATGTTTTTCTGAGTCATGACTGTCTACAATGAGAGAGAAGCTCGAGTCCCGCCAGCTGTACTGTTATTAGATCTGTGTTTACATGGACGGGACGGCATTGTGTTTAAAAGCTGTTTTAGTCAAAGACTAGAGAAAAGAAGAATAAGATACTCACGGCTTATTTGGATGTCACATAGGTGTGTTTAGATCTCGATCATTCTGTGTCAATTTATGTGCAATATGAATCTATGAGTTAACTAACGTGTGCTAACATTAGCATGCTAACACAACAATGCAGGCTGTGGGCAATTGCAGCTCAAGCAAAGAACATTTCTGTCCGCCGCTAGCGCTTAATGTTGCTTAATTATGGTGCGTTCTAATTCATAACTCCTTGTGAACTCGAGTGGACATCCTTTGGAGGTGTGTGGCTGGAGGAGAGCGGAGGTTTCACCAAACAGCAGTTTGTTTTGGTTTTATGTTGGCGCTCAAAAGTCGCACATTCTTCCTTTAACAACAATTTTTATTTACTGCTATTTTATACTTCCACTCCTCATTTTGGAAACTTTATATTGTACTACTCAGTTGATCAGTCTGGTCAGGAGTTACTTTGGCATTTAGATTTTTTATCAAAGATTAAAAAGGACTTCACAAGTATTATAAGACTGCACCTAGAAAGCTGCAACAACTTTTGTTATATAGAAGTTCTAAAACAAACTTCAGAAAAAGGTCTGAGTACTTGTAGTTCTTTCACTTTTGAGGTAAACAATGTGACACTTTGTGTCAAACAAATAATTTAACTTCTGCAAAATGTCGTTTTTTGTTTTCCATATTTTTCTTTAACCTTTACATTTTATGTTTATTTAAATGTATGTCACATCTGATGCATTTGTTTTCCTGCAGGATTTGTCCCATGAGGATATTCCCATCATGCTCGTGGGTAATAAATCTGATCTTAGAACAGAGGACGTTACCTGTGTTCCTACCAGCTATGGAGAAAAACTGGCCATGGTAACGCCAAAAAGATAAACACCACTGTTTATTCCATACTTGACTCTTAATATTTGATATATATACTCACACACATAACTAATATCCCACGCCCTAAACCTTTAATGATTTCCTCTCCTCACTCAACAGACCTACAACACTCTGTTCTGTGAAACTAGTGCCAAGGACGGTTCCAACACGGTGGAGGCTGTTCTACACCTGGCCAGGTGAGATACGACTTTTTTAATTCAAATGAAAATAGAAAAAACAGCTGTATTCATTTTAATCAATACTAACATCTACTAAAGTAAACAACAACAATAATAAAGTCGACTTCAAACAGAGCTTGAGGCTTGTATTCTACACTGTAATACTTTTTTTTGTAAGATTTATTTTGGGCCTTTTTGATTATTGATTTATTATTGGAGAGGTAGGACAATAGAGTCAGAAATCAGGTAGAGAGAAATACTGGAATGACCTGTGGGAAACGAACCACAGGTTGGATTTGAACCCAAGCGGCCCGCTATGAGGACTACAGCCTCCGTACACAGGTCGCGCGCACTAACCACTGTCCCAGCAGTGCCCCATCTCTACATTTTAATTTGAAGGAAAGATTTCCCTTTTATAAAGTTTTCTGACATATTTATATATATATAAAAAAAGAAATCTATCAATAGAGATATTCTTAATGCATTCAAACTCTGAGTGAAAATTAGAAGAGATACATTGTGTTTTTGTAGTAAAAAAAAAAAAGGAATCATTACCACCTTATGTCAAGTCTTAACAAAAATAGGAATTATGACCTTTGCTGCCCTCTGGTGGGGAAAAAAGATACTGCAAAGACAAGTAGCACAGGTGTTAAAGGTGCTGTTTAGTTTAGTTCACTCAGCTAAATGTGATGTATGTAGTCCTATCATTAAATAAATAATCTAATTAAGTACAAGCTCTGTGAATAATTAATGGAAATTAATCAAATATTGATAATGTGAGAAGGATTTCATTACAGGTGGATTTACCACTTAACCTTTAGGCAGTTATTGTTTTAATCTGATCAAGTTGCTTCCCTTCAGTTCTCACACACACACACACACACACACACACACACACACACACACACACACACACACACACACACACACATACACACATACACCCAAACCCAATTTAACCCCAAATATCTGCTCAACAATCTTCTGCCTTGAAACATATGAAACACATTGAATTGTTTTCTAACATGTGAATGAATGTATCCACACATCCCCCTTCATAAAATGTTAAAATAGTTATTGAGCATAAAGATTAATATTACTATAAAACGGTAACAACAAATGCTTCTTATTCTGCAGACATCACTCACTACACACCCTGTATGCTCTTTGTAGCTGCACAGCTGTGTGCATGCTAAATGTTCTCAATCATCGTCTAAATAAACATTAAAAATAAAAGGAAGGTAAACGTGCTTGGGGCTTAAGTGCTGTATCTTCTGCCCCCGTTAACCTTCATGAAATGTGTTGGTTTATGTCCTGAATTTCATATTCCACCTGTTTCTCTTCTTTCCCTCCTGCAGGCAAGTAATCAAACAGGCTACGTTTGATGATAAAGGTCACTATCAGAAGCTCCCCAGCTTAGACGCTCCGAGGAAAAAGCCAAACTTCTCCTGCTGCAACTGATCAAATTCATCAGAATTCGAACGCGGCGGTGTCTTGATGTGAACTCAGCCCAAGTGGGGAAAGGACTGCACATGCAGACACTTGATAAAAGAGAAATGAGACATTTATTTACCTGCAGAGCTGCAGCAACAAGACACAATCATCACTGTTACTAACCCAATGGATCACAGCAGAATATCAACGGCTCCACGAGCGCCACTATTTTGTTCATCAACGTTTTTTAAACATGATGTATTGTGTTACTGTGCATGTTTAGGATGCATTTTTATTGTGCTATTGTCACACATTTGCATGAGGTCCTTCCACATATTTGTGTATGAATGCACCGTTTGCCCAGGCTGGTTGAAAAGTGAGTTCACAGTGAAAGAAAAAAGAAAGCATGAAACGTGAAGACAGCATGTGTGAGAAGGAGCTGCACGTGAGGAATGTGATTGGACAAGTTGTGTGCATGTGATGAAAGATAGAGGGGCTGTTTTAGCATCACATGAAGGTTAGTCCACCAAACTAAGAAGAGTAGATTCTTCATGTTATTAACCGCAGCAGTTAAGTGTTGGGTCAAAAGGGATTGTGCAGTATGATGGTGGACAAGAAGAAAACAGAAGTTTAATGTCTGCATCGAGTTATGGAAAAGCTAAACACACAGCTTGTGTGTATACGATGAACCCTGGTGCAATATGTTATGGAGTGAGACTTTTTTATATAAAATCACAACCCATATTTTCTACTTTATATTACCCCTACAGTGTTACACTTCTATTCAACTGACTTCCCTTTTCATACGCCCAGTTTGTATGAGCAGGTTTGTAGTGGGAACCAAGTCCCTATTTACGTTTATGATGTGTTATGATTGATGAAAATGATATGAGAGGTGATTTAAAGCCCTTAAACTCAGATTGTAATTCAGTTTGAATTCATATCCTGATAATAACGCCATATTATCAACCTGAGGAACAGCAGTTTATTATTCTGTCAGTATGCGTCACATGAAATGCTCATTTGATTTTCAAACAGCATCGTTATCTAATCATAGTATTTCAGTATGATGACAGGCTTCCACCCTCCCCCCCCTCCCAACACCCCCACCAGACGATTGAGTCTATTTAAACAAGTGTTAAATACTTCAGTCGTCAACAATGATAAGAAGCACCTTTGAAGAAGCTGTGATAATTGAGGCTCACTGAAACCTCTGAAATGTTGTTTTAGAGCCCATGTGGTACTCAGTCTTACCTGTGATGTCATCACCTGACTTAAAGAGACAGTGTCCTTCATCTGAGTCTGGAGGAGTAAAACGCTGAAGAACCTGCAGTTTCTCTTTACTGTGCATGTGTCTATGAAGGAATTTGTATCTTCAGTGGTAGAACTTTTAGCATCCGTGTGTGTTAATGTCACAAGAAATATCTGTTTATGTAACTAACGCACACCTGAAAATGACTTTCTCAATAAACTGTAGTCTTCTACTGTATATGTGGTCGTGGTGCCAATGAACTGTGATCTATATAGTATCTATGTACTCCTTTTATGTACAGTCTAAAAGCACAACCCGAACATGTAAACTGACTCTGATATGGAGAATTAGTGAAGTACAGGTTCTGTGTTTGGGTGAATATATTCATTCACAAAAAGACGAAAAAGCTAGAGCTCCACCGATTAATCGGTCGATATTAGCGTATCCATTATTCATTTAAGATTCATCGTATTACACTAGAAGTTCTCTGGCTGTCACCAGCAGAGGGCGCTATATGCAATACAACAAGCATTATCCCTCTAAAGCGAGTGTCAAGTGGTGATGCACGTACATGCTCAGTTACTTTCCAGTTGAGTGGCCATGTTGTCTTCATCAAAAATCTTTTCCACAAGTGTTTAATAACTGCATTTGAGGGATCAACACAATAAATGTGTTTATTGATATCTATGCATTTCTTATCGAACGTAGATCAAAGGAAGATATCGGCCGATATATCGGTATCAGATTTTTTTGTCTCCTCAATATTGTTATCAGTATCAGTCCCAAAAAATCAAAATATCAGTCGGGCCCTAAAAAAACGTTTTCTAATTACTGTATCCGTCTTTCCTTGTGTCTGCTGCTAACTCACAAGCAAATTGTCCTCCAACTTAAAGGCACAAAGGAGGAATGAAATCAATAAATCTGATCATTCAGCTGCTCTAAAAGACCCCCCTGTTAGCCATACTCCCCAAGCGTCTGCAAGTGTCCCGACAACCATCGCTGTTTGAATAAATGCAACATATGTTAGGGATATTGCACTGTGTGTGTGTGTGTGTGTGTGTGTGTGTGTGTGTGTGTGTGTGTGTGTGTGTGTGTGTGCGTGCGTGCGTGTGTGTGTGTGTGTGTTTGTGTGTGTGTGTGTGTATTTTGTGTGTGTTTAATTGTGTTTAGAGTTGGCACGGGTCCCTATTTCCACCTCCCATCTGTTTACATTGTCATGTGCTTGATGAGGCGAGACCACTCATTTGTCAAACAACATGCGGGGTAGCGTAGGTGGGGAAGGGGTGTGAGGGGAGTAGCAGATGAGTGTGTGTGTGTGTGTGTGTGTGTGTGTGTGTGTGTGTGTGTGTGGTAAGGGGGATAATTAGATAAGGGGACTGTGTAGCAGGAAGGTTAATGACAGTAATGAATATATTGGTGTAGAGGAGGCAGAGCAGGTTCTCGACTGTTCGGCTTTTACGAGTTCAGAAAGGGTCAAACACAACAGACGCTGGAACACTCGAACAATTTTTCATCGAATTTTTTAAGTGTGTGAAGAATCGTGAAAATATGCAAATCTCTCCAGAAAAAAAGACAAAAAATCATCTGATCAGTGTCATGTGAATTAAATCTGAATATTTTAACAGAAGTAAAAAGCTGATTGTTATCAGCAGAAACACACACACACACACACACACACACACACACACACACACACACACACACAAATCTATGATCCTGGGAGAGAGGGGGGTTGCTGACTGGGAGAGCAGGGTGTCACCATCTGGAAAGATCAGAGGTCAGAAAATGGGACCACTGGTCACTCTGATGACATCTGGACTGGCAGACTGTCTATCCAAATCCACCTCTTTGTCAGACACACACACACACACACACACACACACACACACACACACACAGTCTGGTGCATCCGATGGATATCTGTCATATTGTTTGTCATGTCTGGTTTTGACACTACGATCAAAGACCCAAATCATTTAAGCAATGTCTGGCAAGCTGGCTCATGCTGTGTGTGTGTGTGTGTGTGTGTGTGTGTGTGTGTGTGTGTGTGTGTGTGTGTGTGTGTGTGTGTATATTTCAAATATTTCTACAAACTAGACCTAAATAATTTACACTGAAATTTGCAGCTCTGACATCTTTTAAATGAAGGATGCTTAAGAGTTAACCGTTTACACCCGTTTGCCTTTAATTCAAATCTTGGAATAAACATTTTTATTGATAAAAACACTGCACTGTAACTTCTACACATACATATTAGAGCTTCTGTTTTATCTGATGTTCTTTTTCAGTTTTTCATCCTTTTGTGAATAACTTTCTAAACACTCCCATAATGCGTATCTTTTTCCTCTTTGCCACGACGACGTCCTGATGTCTTGTGTGTCACACTTTGAAATAGCCTTGTTCTCGAACTGTGCTATATAAATAACTTTTCTTGTATAATTTCTGCTCTTTTAATACAAAGCTACCATTTACAGTTTTAAACCCGACAAAAAAAAAAAAAAAAAGCATCCAAACAAGCTGTTTGAAGTTTACATGAGAGCAGATGGTGTTTAAATACGCTGCTATTCCACTCGAGCAGGCAAGAGGGCAGCAGCCTCATGTTATACAAGACGGGCTTCCTGTATTATGTGTTATATGTTGTCCTGTAGCTTTACAGTGATGCTGGTTTTTCCCGTACATACATGAAAGGAGTGTCATTATTTACCTTATTACCTGAGGCTCTTATGTTGATTTTTTTTTACCTCATGAACAGATTTTATCCTGAAGCGCCTCATAATAACCGGACTATGTTTCATCTTTCATCAACTGAAACTGAAATGTATTTAAGCGTGTCTTTTTCTGTGGGTTGAAATGAGAATTTAAGCCGCCGTCCTGTGTGTAGCACTATCAGCATTAACATGTGGCATGCTATACCATAAAGCAGGAAACTGTATTAAATGGTTTCAGCAGAGACAGATAGGCCGACTTCTGAGAACGCGATGGAACAGTAAAGCTAAAGCAGGAAATATATCTAATGACAGTGAGGACGCCTGGGTTCTGTTTATCTCAATGACCGCTCAGTTTGATCTCTAGAAAGGACGGGCAGGGATTAGCGGCAGTTTTATAATGTGTGTTAATCTGACAGATTAGCTTGATTAGGTTAATCTGAGAACGTTTGTGAATGTGAGCGTATTTATATCTCTCCAAAGTGTTTTATCTTAGCTCCTTTTCAAAGTACAGTTCAGACTGTGTGTTCACACTCACATGCGGTGTCTGTGAGCGTCTCTGCTGATAAGTTGATATGACAGCAGTTGACGAGAGACGACGGGGGTTGCCAGGCTGAATTCTTTCCAGAGTCTAAACACTGTTTTGTTGATGTTTTGTCAATAATCTCCAGCTGCAGTCGATGCCCACGGTGTCGCTCTCTTAAACTGAATACACCTCAGACAACACACATCGAGAAAGTGTCCCCACTGCGAATCCAAAACGACATTTTGACCCCTAAAAAATCAGATCCATCCATGTTGTTTATCTGAGTCAAAGCGTGGAAAACAGATTGAGTGCATTTACATTAATCTATCACCACTTGCAGTCCATCGACATTTGGCTGTGTGTGTGTGTGTGTGTGTGTCTGCACACAAAGCAGGCAGTCACTGACATAATGACCCTCCCTGCCTCCGCAACATCATAGAGATCTCGTCCAGAAACTGTATTGACATATCGACCACTTCTGTCACACACGAGAGCAGCCGATATCGACGTGTTGTTCACTCAGGAATGTAACCTAGATTTGGTTTACAGAGCAGCTGCCCTCCAGCTTATCACAAACACTGTTACTTTGCTTGAGGTAAACATCAGCAGAGGTGGCTCTGTCCTTTCTCACTGCAGGGACAAGACAAAACCTGATCAACTATGTTCACGTCCCAACTTTGAAAACTTTCCCCTCTCTCTCTCTCTTCTCGTCTTTCTCTAAAAGGTTCTTGTGTAGTCTTTACAGAGAGATACTGGAGTTTTAAGAAAACATTTGGATGGATTTTTTGGGCGCTATTTCAGGCGATGTACGGCTACAAGTTTGATTGAAGTATTCAAAAGGGATGTGCGGGTTAGGTCGACTAAACGGTTAAACAGCATAAGCAGAATTAAAAGTATGTTTTACAAATCAATATGTTTATTAGTTTGCAAAATGTTACACCCAAGCTGCAACGCAGCGGCTCGCCGTTAACCTGTAGCCGTAAACTAGTTGAAGTTAGGGTTAATGGGCCTGCTCTCCCCGCTCTGCCGCCATAATGTAAACAAGCACATTGAATGAATAGCATCTTGTAGGGCGCTTGTGGTATTTTGGTCTAGAAAATTGAGATAAAAATGTATGTACACTTTGTCAGGTTAAACTGGCAAATCAATGTGTAACCACAGGAATGTGGACGGTAAAAGGGAGGGCCGAGGTCTGGTGGCACTAACACTTCTAACGTCACACGCATTCTTTTTACCTGCAGACAATTTTTGATGAATTGAGCAAATCATGGAGTAAAAAAAAAAGACTCCAGTGATTCATAGTTATTATAATATTGCTGTTTTAAATCTTGCAGAAGTAAGTTGCACATATTTTTTAGAGTTTGTGGCAAATGGTTAGCAGAAAAATATTGAACCTAATTAATCAAATCTAGAAATGACAGATACTGGAATACGTTGTGTGGATTCTCTGTTACTTCTTTCTGCACATCAGACTCTTTAAATTCAATCTACGACCTCAAATCAACCCATGACACACAAATGGCTTCACACTGATTTATTATTTTATTATATTATTTATCAAGACTTTCCTCCAAGGACAGTCCCCACACGACATATAAATTCACGAACACACGTACACCATGCCATCCACGACCTTTGACCTTTCACTGTGCCACGACCCCATCATAATGATGTACAGCAAGCTCATCATCTCCATGGTAACATGAACTAGTTACACTGAGCACAGTGACAGGGGAGCGTATGTGTGTGTGTGCGCACACACACGCACACACACACACACACACACACGCACACACACGCACACGCACACACACAGACACACACACACACACGTACACACACACACACGCACACACACAATCTAATAGGGCTCTCCATCTGTCTATGTAAATCAATCCTGACCTTTGCTGAACTCTGGCAGTGCAGTTTGACAGTTAATCACTTGATAAGTGTGTGTGTGTGTGTGTGTGTGTGTATATGAGTGTGTGTGTTGGTTTCTCTGTCTA